TGCTGCTAGAAGTCTCAAGGAAAAATGTATCAAATTCCTATTTTTCTTCTGCACATTCAACTAGACTTTGTTTTATAATACAGCTTCTGCGTTCCATAAATCTTTTGGTAATTTTTTGCAGAAACTGCAACCTGGCTGCCAGGAGAATAACACTGAGAAGGCAAAGTTTATACAGAACTAATATTAGTCTTACGCCCCCTACGAACCCTTTGAAGAACACAGTTGCTTTTCAAATCAGTGTGAGATTTAAAAAAAAAAAGAATTAAAGCTAAGCTTTTTTCTTAATGTCTGCGTTTTAAATGCAGTGAGGAGTTCCTTTTACCATAACTTAGTATTTCCCCTGCGGTTCTGTGACACCGGGGGGCCAGTGAGTGATAAATGATGGCGGTCTGAAAACTGAAAGATAAATAATAAATAGTTCAGCTAAAAGTGGGTCACGTAACTCTGGGACTAATGCCTGGGACCGTGTCCTGTGAGACTGATGTAGTGACATTATCTAATGACTAATGACTCTTATTACCAACACTGGAAAATATGACTTAACCAGCATCATTCATTTGTTCAGATATCTATCAGTTTGTGACACCCAAATAATATTATGAGAAAATTATGTTTTCTTTTCACCCTTGAGGATTTTTGGGACTGACCTAAAGAGATTAATGACCAGGCTTCCTTTTTTTTACCCATGAGGCCTCCTTCAGACTCCAGACCTTCCTTCATTTCCTTTAAACCTTCGTCCTAATCAGATTATACCATACTGTACCATCTTACTTGTTCTTGTTTGATGACTGATAACAGATTCAGTCGGCTCACTGCACTACCTCAGTGTTGAGTGCTTGTCAGGAAGCAACATGTGGAAAAACAAGCCATGACCCCGATACCTTGACTGAATTTATGACTGAAACATACGTTTTACTGAAGGCTTTATGATCGCAGTCCTTAGTTTCAGGTGTTCATCAATAGAACACAGTGTCAATTTTTAAATGATTGTCTCCTAAAGATAAGAATTGAAAAAAACAGGATGTCCTTCGGGGCCTGCAGTTATAATGACATTGACAACAAATCATTCTGCATTCTGCTTAGTCACACAGGTGTTCCATGAACGATCGCTTACAGTTTCAAAGGAAAAAAACATGTTTTTGGTCAATCAGCGAAATCTTTACGTTTAAAGCCCAATTTATATTTGTCTATATTCTGTATGACCGGCAAATTATTTAATTCTATTCCATCAAAACCATTCAGTATGAAAATAGAAACATCGCCATTTCAACATTTGTAGACTGTACCATGGACTCAGATGTAGAACTTAGAAACGCTGTTTTGCTGACGGTTGCAACCTGCTCTTCGGATTTGGATGAAGTTGTATTGAACCCAGTGCCCTCTGGTGGAAGGCGAGGGTCTTTAGTAAAATAAAAAGTAGTGACTTATACACAGATGTAAATCTAACTGGTCAAGAGGTAGAGCAGGGTGTCCTGGTTTACTTGTGTACATTCCTGTCTCTCTTATCCAGACACTTTACTCCAGGTTGCCCCTGGTGACTGACCTTACAATGAGAAATGCAGGTGACTACTCTTTAATAATCATGATAATAGTCATATAGGCTAATAGTGCTATCCATCTATCTATCTGTCTGTCTGTCTGTCTGTCTGTCTGTCTGTCTGTCTGTCTATCTATCTATCTATCCATCTAATAGATGCTGTGAAATATTATGTATACAAACAGCAAAAAACTTATTGTGAATAAAGCCATCATCAATTACTGCCACAAATACTAAACACTGTTATGGTGTAAAATTAAAGTGGTTTAACACAGTTCAGCCTTGTTTTCAACAGTGTTATGGGCTGTGGAGACATTCAGTAAGGCCAATGTGCACCACTGACTATTTTCGTTTGATAAGTAGGTCCACTGAGATGACATTGTTCAACTCACTCATCATTTTAACATCCTTCCGTCTCTGCCAGTCTCCTCTCAGTAGATTAATCTTCATCAGTCAGAGCAGAGACTCTGTCTCTCCAGCCGATTCCCTCAGGAACACTCAAGCACGTCTGTACTTTTACTTACACACACGCTCAAAACCTCTAACATAAAAAATGTACAGGGCCAAAATTTGGTACCATAAATAACGGTTACTTTACCAAGGCACTTTTACAAACCTCATACAAATTCAGTTTCAGTTACTGCTTTGAAATGAAAGTGTTATGTTTAAATTCAAAGTTTGGTTTAAAGATCAGCTTCAGACAAAAATTGGCCACAGAGCTGGAAAGACAAATGATAGCTTAAGAAAAAGCAAAACCTTCAATAAACAAGGAGTAATAAAGTGAAGGAGGAGGAATTGAGCCCATGTGGGGCAAATTACGAGCGAGAACAGTTTCTGCAGTCAGTCACAGTGAGACCCAAACCTTAAAGCACACAGACATGAACAGAAACCATGCCACCCAATCAGGATCAATGAGTTCAGCAGACTTCCCCAGTGGCTACGATAACAACCAGAACAAAAACCTGCACAGGAAGAAATTACAGTGGAACACACAAACACATACTCAAAAAATACACCAACATGCTGATTGTGGGAACAGCCTGTGAAATCTGTGAGGAGCTGTATGTTAGTGCAATGAGACGTCACTTAATTTAAAGTGTAAAATGTGATAAATACAATTATAAAACTGGAAGAAAAAGAATGCATGTGTTTTTGTGGGTCAGTGCGTGTTCCACTTCATCACACTGTGCAGAGCGCGTCCACTCTGCATTGGTGAGCATTTCGGTATGTGGTTGCGATGATTGCCAGGGTGTGAAGTCGTTTACTGGGTTTAATTGTGGGTTTGGTTTTTACGAGATGGTCTGTTTGCTGAAGTGACAAGCGCCCATTGTTCCCTCACGTGTCCGTGTTACGACCCAATTACCCTCCAATCACACGCATGACCAGAGCCTGTAAGTGGGTAACATAATGGGCCACAATTGGGCTGTGCAAATCTGCAATCACATATATGTGCAAAAGATACACATTTATTTTGTCATATACTCTACACACTCACCTGTGAACTAACGTTCAGGTGAGGTTGAGTTAGTGTGTGTTGTCAGCTAAACACAGGGCAACCCTACGTCCAGACCTGATGAGGTAAAACACTGCATTTTTAGGTCTAATTATCTTATTCTGTAAATTACGTGAGAAAACACACACACACCACACACACACGTGCACATGAACATTTTTGAGTGGACATGGGAAAAAGATCCAGTGTGGACATTAAAGGCCACACAGCCTGGTTGCAGGTGTGTCGTCTGTGTGTTGTTTACTCCAGATTAAACAGAGCATGTCTCACTCTCAGTGCTGTTAAAGCTACGGTTCATGGAAGTTACTTACTGCAGAGTCCGACCGTGGTGTTTTGTCTGTTTATGTCAGAAGTCAGGAATGAATCTTTGAGTAAACTTAAGACAGAATTCCGTGTAAAAGTTTTAACGAAACAACTTTAATGGTTGTTAACAACTGCATACAACTACAAAGCATGCAGGGCAAAAAGACACTTAAATAAAACATAAATACACATCAATTCAGGCTCAAAGACCGCACACAGTTCTACAGTACAAGGAAAAGACAACAACAATACAGTATGTTTAGTTTTATTCCACAGATCTTCACGTTCCATGGTCGTTCATGAATGACTTGGAATTTTTGACCTCTAATTCAAACTTCTGTGTTAGTGAATGAGTGTCTTGAGGATGAAGGACTTGTTTAAATGTTATGGAGGAAACGTCTTATTGAAAACTAAAACCTAAAGTCTGCTTTATATGTCTTGTTGATAGAAGAAAAAGACATTTTAAAAATAATAATAATTAATTATCACATCTGACAGTTAATGTTTCTACCAAGTCTTACAGCTTTAGGCGTTTAGACTAATTTAGTGTTGAAATGTTTAGATATATGGTTTATTTACAAAAAAATAAAATAAAAATACCAAGAGTCTTCACTAAACACCCCAACACTACTGGACACGATAAAAGCAGGTTGACTATTAAAGATGTCATATTCACAACACCAGTTTATACAAACAGTAATGAACGTGAGGTTTTCTCCACAAGGGCAAGTGTTTGTTTTTTGTGTGACTATTATTCTAAAAAAAAAAAAAAAAAAAGTCATAAGAGGGTCATTATTTACATTTGCCCGAATGTAAAAAAGGGAACTTGGTGATATTCTGGCAGTTTAACCTGGCAAATTGACAATTGTGGCTATAAACTTTGATAATTTTGATCTGAAAACACTCATCTTTTACCTCCTCTAGATCTTTTACTACTACAACAACAACAAATCATTTTTTATCTTCTCTCACCAACCTACTACACACTGAATAATTGTGACTTATGCAGTATATAGATGAAAAATTTAAAATTGAAATATACATTATTCACAAGATGCTTAGTACCTCTTTAACCAAAGTCTCTTCTCCGACTGCGTTACTCCTCTGTTGTCCTTTCTTCCTTAAAGCCAATGTTTCTCATCACTATGCGACGAGATTGTGATCTTTTTATCTTTTACTTTCTCAACTTCAACATCAGATTTACACTTTACCATCTACACTTACAACACAGTCAGTGTTAATTGGGCTGTTTCTCTTCATATTATCAGATGTAAGGTCTGTCGGTTTATTAAAGTCATCAGAAGTTTACCAAATTCACTTAATGTTTGATTTTAAGGTCCTATTGTTTGGTTTCCCCGTGCTATTAAAATTACCTTTTTGTCCAGTAGTCAAAAACTAACTAGTTATCAACTGTGTTGGGAGGTATTGTTACTTGAGTTTAGGATTGTACGCTCTATAAGTTTCATTAAAAAAAAAATCAATTATGTGTTTTTGTTTTATCATATACAACAAAATCCAAGTTAAATGACGTGAAAGTGTAAGACAACAGTTACAGTACAGGGCATGCATGGACCAGTGATGTGTAACTGGTGTTTAATGGATAATTCAACACA